TTTGGGGAGAGGTGGGGGGGTGGCAGTGGGGCAGGGGGGTGTAGGTGACAGGGACAGTGTTGGGCTGGCGAGTGAGACCAGAGCCTGGCGAGCTCCTCCTGCCACAAACCCAGAGAGCCCTCATCAGTCTCCAGCCCCTAAACGAGGGAGGGGGGTTCCCCAGCCCCCCAACCACCTCCAGTCCCCAAACCAGGGCAAGGGGTCCCCAGCACGGGGGTATGCGGAGCTGGGGGGGGGCATGGGGACAGCCAGCCATCCTCCTCGCTGGCCGTGCAGGGGTGATGGCCGCTGATTTGGGCTCCCGCCTGGGTTTCTCCCCACGGCCTGACGAGGTGGGGAGCGGAGTCACAACTTAAATGAGCCTGGTTTAACGAACGGGGCCGGCAGCGTGCGTATGGGGGGGTGACACGGGACGGGTCCTGCGCAGCGGACACTGCCGTCCGTCCCCAGCGCCCACGAGGACATCAGGCCGGGATTGCGGCAGGTGGGGGTCACGCCAGGTCGGGGAGCTTGGCTGAGCACGCTGGGGGCTCGGAAAAGCTCCGCTCCCTGCCCGGCCTCAAGCTCCGGTGACCTCGGCAGCGTCCTCCAGCTCAGCCCGGTCTTCGGCAGAGCCAGGGCGATGCTAATGGCCCCCTCAGAAACTGCGGGAGCAAAGACTCGATCAGAAATTACCAGCACGTGGCACGTTGCATTTCTGCCTGTGCACCTGGATATTAAATCTTTCCATCCCTGCCTGATTATCGACATTAAGCACTGGGTTTGTTTGTACCTACAGAAGGGGGAAGAGGGAGCAGGCGGGGGCAGAACGAAGGGCACTGGGCACCGACATCTATCTCTTCGGTGCTTGGAGTGCTCGTGCTTTAAACTGAACTGCGGGGAGTAAATCACCGGTGTTCCCATCACTCCCACTGGGAAGCAAACAAATCCATGTCAGCACTGCCGGGAGCCGTGACAGCAGCCGGGCAGGGCACCCCAGCCACGGGCATTGCTGACGGGCAGAGCTGGTGGCCCCAACTGGAGCAACCTGAGGGTCACTCTGGTGTGTGCCATGCCTGCCCGTTCTGTCCGCAGCTCCTGCCTGCCCTGCCCCGTGGCGCAGCCTTTGCCGACTCCTGGGGTCTCTCTGCCACTGCCGCCGTCTCCTTTGGCTCCTCCTGGGCGAGATGGGTGCATGCACATGTTGCAAACAGCCAATTCTTGCCCGTTTTACATCACTCCCACCTCCCGCACAGCCACCTTGGGTGCAATGCTCAGCACCTGCCGATGCCCCCAGCACTCCTCTGTCTCACCCCGCGGGTGCAAGGCAATGGCCGAGGTGCTGCTGGAGGCCGCTCAGCTCCAGGTTTTCCAGACTGCCAGCAAGCCATTCCCTTGAAGAAGATCTGCTTCTATCTCAAGGTGTCACAGCCTCAAGGGAACCACCTAATCTGTATCTGCACTGCAACCTTTATCTCTCCCCGGCTGTGTGAGAGGCTCTGTTTATAGCTGCCAAATAATACCCGCTAAATTGCAGGATCCACCACCCCCCTCCCTCCCCGCAGTACCCCCTGACACTTGTTTGTCTGCAAGAGGGATGCTCTCGCCTGCCAGGTGCCTCCCCGCGTTTTGCTGGAGGTAAATGATGCTCCAGGGGATGGGGAAGGGCAGCTGGGCTGCTCCTGCCTCCTGGCTGGGCTCCAGCCATGTCCAAGCCCCTGATAACCCCAGACAGACCCTGGCACAAATTGCTATCCCCTCCGGCTTCAGCCCGACCCCGCTTCCCTCAGTCCGGGCTTTGCTTCTGCTGAAAATGAGGTGGGATCCAGCAGGTCCAGCCTCATCCTTCCTCTGCGTGACCCAGGGATGGAGGAGTGGACATCCTCTGCAGGAGGGAGGAGATGGCAGCTTATCGCAGCTGGCGTGCCGTCCCAGCCTCGCACAAGGCCATGGCCATGTCCTTGCCCAGGGATGGCAGCCAAGCAGCAATCTGGAGTTACCCACCCTCCGCCAGGGAGTCTTGGGTGCCCCTTCCCCTGCTCCCCCAGTGTTTCACAAAATGGCCGAGGAGCCCCTGCAGCATGGCAGCAGCATAGCATGAGGGCAGAGCGGCTCTGGCTGCATCCCTGCTCGGGAAGAAGCCAGGGCTGTCGGTACCGGAGCTGCAAGGATGTTCCAGAAATGTGCACTCAATGGTGTGCTCTGGGCTTCTCCTGCATCCCTGATTCCCATGGACCGTGACAGCCTGGCATCAACCTGGGCTGCAGCAGGGACCTGGGGTGCCTGCGTGCAGGGAGTGCATGGGATGCACAGGGTGCATGGGGCACCTGGATGCGCCCCAGGGATGTGTGGGGCGTGTGGGACGCCAAGGGTGCATGGGCTACCCAAGGTGCATGGGATGCACGGTGCACACAGGATGCAATGGGGCATGTGGGATGAATGGGGTGCACGGGGTGCTGGGGATGCAGAGGACACATGGGGTGCCCAGGGTGCCCGGGGTGCATGGGGCACGTGGGATGCATGAGGCACGTGGGATGGATGGGGGCACGGGGTGCCTGGGATGCACAGGACACACGGGGTGTCCAGGTCACACAGGATGCATGGGATACCCGGGATGCAGCGGGCCACACGGGATGCATGGGGTGCTCAGGGTGCCCGGGATGCGCAGTGCACGTGGGGTGCCGAGGGTGCGTGGGGTGCCCAGAGCACCCGCTGCCCGCCGGGTCCCCGAGCCAGCGTGGTGGCGGGCAGTTGCTGTGCCGCTGACATTTACTAATCAGCTCTAACCTCAGCTGCACACCCGCTCCGTCTCGCTTGCTGTCTTGTCTCCATGGAGACTCCGCAACCTTTGCTCACTCGTTAATGGTATCTCAGCAAACGAAACTCCAACACCACCCAGCCTTCCCCTCCCGGCCCCGGGAGAAATCCTCGCCTCTCACCTCCATCCCCATCCCCTCCCGCCGATGGGGATAAAAGGGACGAGTCCTTGTTAACGAAGGACCCAGCCACGCTGGGCCGAGCCGGGGGCAAGTTCTGACAGCAGCGCGGGGAGGAGGGAGAGCCGCCATCCTCCTCGTCGCCAAAAAAACAAGGCCGGGGGATTTTATTGCTGCGGCAGCAAGGACGGGCTCCGGCCATGCAGGATGCCGGCCAGCAGCCCCTTCCCGGCTGATTTATTGAGCCACGAGGCTCGGCACAAGCCATTGTGCCTGGGGTTGCGTGTGCTCCCATCCCAAACCTACCCCTGCCCGACGGCCAGCACCCACCGAAGCCACCGGCACCCAGAAATCATCCGAAGGCAGTGGCGGCTGCTGGGAGCATGCTCCATCCCTGGTGTCCTGCTCTCGCCGATTCTGTTTTCAAATTAACATGGGAAAGATGCCCATTACCTGCTTCCAGATAATGACTATGATTAGGCAGAGCTCTGCTGCCAGCCGAGATCTGAAGGATTTCTGTGCACTCCAGCAGCGCTTGCCAGTGCAAAAACAAGAGCAATAAAGTGTAAATAAAAGACTAAAGAAAATAGCGCGGTCCATCAGCGGAAAGGGTGTGCGGAAGCAGCTCTAATGACGGGCTTTCTGCAGTGGTGGTGGTGGCTTCAGCCTTGCTACAGGCAAGGCAAAATTGGAGAGGGGCTGCCCCAAACCTGCACCCCACATTTGAACCTGGCTTGGCCTCCACTTGCTGGAAGCTGGGGGTTTGGAAAGAAAAATTCAAGATGTGCACTTGTAAGCTGCAGTGTAATGAGTGAGGCTGTCCTTGGGGGACTCCCGGCCCAGCAGACAGAGCTGGAGGCTTAAGAAAGGGGAAAAAAAATACCCTGATGTCCTGAGTTGGGTGCACTGTCTCCCGGAGCACCCGGTGTGGTCCCACACCTCCTCCACCCCGTGGTGTGACTACCCTGCCCTGGCATCCGTCGAGCCAGCGGGGAGCAGGGCAGAGGTGGCCCCTCTGTGCCGGGTGTCCCGGCACATCTCCAGCCCCAGCCCACCAGAGCCCAGTGGGCAGGGGATGCTCACAGCCCCGTGGAGCTTGGGACGGGCAGGGAGCAGCACAGGACCCGCGGTGCCCACGGGTACCAGCCAGCTGCCCCATGCAGCGCAGCCCTGATGGGCACACGAGGGGATAGGATGGGGCACACGACCCCGCTGTGAGGGGGAAACCCTGAAACTTTGCTGTTCATGGGTACCTGGCTCAGCTGGACCCTCATCCTCCTGCTCCTCTTAGTGGGCTGGCAGAGCCCACGCTGACTTGCAGGATCTCGCCCTGCATCCTCACATACCAGCATGCCCCGAAGCATCCTGGCTCAGCCCAGCCTCCCTCCCCTGCACCCCCGGGGGATGCCCC